TTATATATATAAAAGAGGCTTTGCGAGAGCGGGGCGGGGGTACGGACCGCACCGGGTAACACGATTTGAGGGGGGGGGGGGGGTGACACCATGGCAAAAAAAAAATTGCAAAATGTACAGAAGAAAAATGCTTTTTGCCAATTCTATTAATGATTAATTAAAGTTAAATAGTCTTTTCAGTGGCGTAGCCAGGTCGGGTGTTCCCGGTGCGGCACTTAATGTTGTCACCCCCCCCCCCCCCCCCACCAGAGGCGTAGCAGCCCTTCCCGGGGACAAACTTTCAAATTTTCGATTTGCATCCCCCCCCTCAAACTTTCGATTTGCACCCTCCCTCAAGTTTTTCTCTATATATTTTGCTATTTTTTTGCCTTGGTGTCACCCCCCCCTAAATGGTGTCACCCGGTGCGGTCCGCACCTCCCCCCCCCCCCCCGCTACGCCCCTGACACCATAACATAAACGTGCTAACAATAGAGAAAACAATGCTACATCCAACTGTATTATTAACAGACTATAGAAAAACATCGTTACTATTAAGTCTGCAGTGATTAAAGCTTATAAACATATACACTCATACACACACACACATATATATATATATATATATATATATATATATATATATATATATATATATATATATATATATATATATATATATAATATACTTTGAATTTTTTAGGGGAAGGGGGTGACATTACTAAGTGCCGCACCGGGTGACACCCGACCTAGCTACGCCACTGATATATATATATATATATATATATATATATATATATATATATATATATATATATATATATATATATATATATATATATATATATAATTCAATACACCTTATATTTAAAAATAAAATCGATTTTAATTTACATCAGAACATCATTAGTCCATATAGATCTATAGACCCACAGAACACTTTGATCTCTGACACCTAGATTAAGGTTATATAGTCTTCAATAATTTCAATATTTTGAGATCTGAAAGTAAATATGAATTGTAGTCCTATGTATGAAAAGTGTCTATGTGAAAGGTGTGAAACAAAGAGAAAAGAAAACCAAAGACAACATACAGGAAGTTTTTTGACACAAATTGTACCATAACATTTTGGAATAAATAAAATATCTGTCGATTTGTTGCAGACAACATTCTTGTCTGCAAAATGGCGAACAAAGAGTAGGCTAACGTTACTTCACAATTGTTAGCCATGTCTGTTGAATCTTTAAGATCATTTAGTGTAACATTAAGCTTTAAGGGATGTTTCCGAATATATTTTGATGTATAGTAAGTGTACTGATACACTCTCCCTCTCGTTAATATTTATTTATTTCGAATAGGCCTAAATAAAGCCTAGGCCTAAAAAAATATAAAATTAATGAAATGACCAGCCACTGCAGCCAGGAGAGTCGAGTGAGACCTCAGATGTGTTGATTATGTCACATTATGTGTAGACTAGACTAGCACCTCTCTCTACACTAGACTCTAGGCTATATCTAGACTAGAAGTCTAGGCTAGAATCAAATCTAGATCTAATAGTAATAGTAATACTAGTATTCTAGTTCTAGAAAATCCATAAAATTTAGCCTAATTCTCAATTTGTCATTTAAATCATTTTAGTTTAAGTTAAGTTCCTTTTCTAACCTGAAGGTCCACAGAGCAAGTAAAATAGAGTTTGAGTATTTCTCAGTGTGGTTTCTGCATATGAAGGGATAGTGTGGTCAGCACTTTACTTTGCCCAGCTGCCTTACTTACGTCAATGTAGCTTTCCCTAACAATGCAACATAAGTCAGGTACCCATCAAAGTTGATTACATTTAGTTCATGCAGAAGACATGCTACAATTCTAGGCAGGGACCCCGAACTTGAGTGTATTGGGTTACTTTAGCAGTCAAACACTGAAACTCAACCATTCAACTAGTAGATGTATATAGTATACCAGTGTAACAATTACTTGTTACAAACTTAAAGCCAATGGTGAGCCAAGTAACCCAAGTTCCACCATAGCAATTATTGAATTTCTGACCTTAAACTTTAGATTTAGATTACTAATAGTCAGAACAAAGTTACCCATGCTTCAACTTCTTAATTTAACAACATTTGAATTCAACATTTGGATGATTGCGGATACTGATGCCCGATAGTAGACTCTTTCGTAAATAGGTGTGATAGGTTGTTAGCAGTATTGTAATCTTAACTAGTTTTATCATATGGTTAGAAATTAGGGTTAGGCTTCTATTAGGTCTAGGGCTGCTGTGAGGGTTACAGATAGGGGTTAGCATTGATATATATGCAAGCTATTTGTGTACTTAGTATTGTGTTAATTACCAGCAACCTAACATCCTTTTTAAAGAATATTCTATTATTGGACACTTATTAGAAACAATTACAAAGTATGTGGGGTTAACATAATGCGAGATGCAAAATGGCGAGGTGGTAATAACTTTCACAACCATGTTCCAAATGAAAATAAATTAACCTAAAAACAAATTATAGGCCTACCCTAGGTTTATTGTTAACAAAAAATTATCCACCCATTTGTAAATAACAAAACATAAGCACAGTAATTGTCATAAGATTTCTTTATTGAGGACACACCCTATTAGGATCTAAGACAATTTAAAAATCTGCAATATATCACTTTTATCATGTTATATAGTTGTATATAGGCCTAAATGGTGTATGCACACATTTTTCTAGTATGGAGCAGATATCCACCCTTTTCTATATTCTTTTATTAAAATGGTTTTAGAGATTTAGAGAGACGCAGTGTTTTATTGATCTCAGTGAAGATCAATCTGATTTTAATTGGGATCCAAATATTTATCAAAGTCCATTTTATCAGATTTCCTTTTGTCCTTAGTTTGCTCCTAATTTATTTATTTTTTGCTTTTCCCTTAGCATGTGAAACCAGAGTAGTGATGCTTTATTGCTTCTTAATTCGTTTTTTTGTTATCAGTTAGGCAACTAATTACTTGCGTATGAGACTGGTGTTTAAATGAAAAAAAAGAAATTAGTTCTGCCATTTACATTTCGTGTATATTGTTTACTTTTTCTAAATTTGATCTACCCTTGTTCTAAGGATATGTTGTCAAGTTCAGTTTGATTTTTCTGATAAATGAATATTGATTCCAATTTCTGAACTTGTAATTATTAAAAATATTAACAGAATATGCAGTTACTAGTTTCAGTCCTTAGTACCTAATGCCTTGTAACTAATCCATGCTTCATGTTGCAGAAATGGGACTGTTAATCTAACAGTGTAAAGCTGGACAATATATAATCTCTAAACTATGGAGGAGGGGGTGAATACTGGACACTGTAGGCCTAAAATAGCTGGCCACCTTAAGGAAGAGATGGATGTCTTCATGTTCAAAAAGGTAAACAGCTATGACATCTCTACATGTATATTGAGTAGTCATTACAGTAATTGATTGCTACACATACAGGTTTTAATGTAATATAAACAGCTTAGATATCTTAAGTAGGAAGTTATGTTTAATTGATAGAATGAAATGTTGTTTAAATACTTCATCACTTAATCCTAAAAATAAAATGACGGCAAATAGAGCAAAAAAAAATATAGTTTAGAAAATAAGTAAGTGGTGTAGCTTTTGCAAGGGTATATAGAAAATGTGAAAGTCTGCATGATAATTTTTTTAAAACAGTGTTTCTTTATACACCAAAATGCTGCAGTTTTTTTCTCTAGGTTACATAATAATAAATAATAAAAGTTTATCATAATACAAGTAATACAAGTATAGTAACAAATTTGATCTTTTTAATTTATTTCCAGCAAATAAAACAAGAGATGAAACCAATTCATGCATTGCGGAAAAGTACAAGGCCAAGAAAACAAAGTCAGAGAATGCTGGATGGGGCAGAAGATGATGAGAGTCCACCCACGAAAAAGCCATGTAAAAGTTTTAAGATAAATAAACATCCAGATATTTGCAAAAATGGTAATTTAAAATTTAAATATTGCTTTTTAATTAGATTCTAATATTTATTGCTACAATGAAAGTTTAAAACTTAATTTATAATCTATTTATTATAGAGATTATTTAAAATTTAACATGTGCATTATGATCTTAGGTGAGCCTTTTAAGTGTAGCTTATGTGAAAGCCCTTACATCAATACCAGTGCTGCTAAGGCTAAGAAGAAGCTGGAAAATGAGCCAATTGTTAAAGAAGTAAATGGGCAGCTATTGGAATTGTGTGTAAAGTGTGGTGAGTTTGTTTTTGAAGTAATTTCTTTACATCATGGCATTAGGCAAGATAAACTGCTATAATAGCCCAATGATAAAGTACAATGCAAATTTTACTAGCCTATTTTGAACACTTTTTAGCCCTTTAGTTTAAATCCTAAATTTACTGCAAACATTAACTAAGAATATATGTTAACATATATACTAAATCAATATGGACTAAGATGGCCAACCTCTAGCTAAGATATGGCAATTAATTATCAGAAGTTAGTCATAGCTGAAATTAATTTCCTTCTGTTGCCACTTGTTTCCAGCTATAGCACTAAACAATACAGAAAACAAAGGTCCCTCACCAGAGGAACGTGAGATGTTTGAAGAAGAAGGGAAGAAATTTGCACAGCAGTTATCTGAAGAACTGGGAGAACCTGAAGGTAACTCTATCATGGTTTTCAAATGTTTAGTAATAAGCTGCAATTGATGTGGGTTTTTTTCTCTACACTGGTAAATGTTTATTCCTTTAGTTTAGCATGAACTGTAAAGGGTAAAGTGCCTCATTGAAATAGTTAAAAAGCAGTCGCCTGTTTAAATAAGTGTAACATTTTTCTTCATTCTTAACTTAACTGTAACATTAGACTCTTGGATGGGGATTGTCTAGTAAAATGATTTAAAAATTTAAGTATCCTTTATACCTGATGGTCTATGATGCAGATGAAGTAGAGTTCATCTTTGGATATAAGGCATATAATTATACTGCTGGTGTACAAGTTAGATGTTGCAATTTCTTAGTTCAAAACACTTATTTGCTTATGGTAAAATGCAAGTATTCTAATCTACAGCTGTGCGTTTGTATTGTTCCTTGTACCAAACTACAAAATGTGGCTGCATTCAGCTGTACATCAATGGCACAAAGGCAGTCAAGAAAAGAAAGAACAGTTTTACCACAGCTGACATGAGCAATCCTGAAGTTGTAAGGCATCATTTAAAAATAATTTATGCCCATATTTGTCACCATTATTACACAATTCCATTTCACCAAGTGCTTATATGAAAATGGGAAATCTTTTAATCAGTTTTGAAGGCCAGAGTTAAAACAGTTTATTTCTGGGAAACGATATTTATTTATAATTTTAAAAATTATGACGGTTCTTAAAAGTAGACATAAATATTGAAAATAATGACTTTACCATTTAAGTCTTGATATCAGCTAATCAAATAGAATTTGATATTAGTTAGAAATAGTGTTACTAGTTAGAGATTGTGATACTAATCAGTGAACTCCTTGTATAACTGTGTAGGTGGATAGAGACTTGAGCCTAGAACCACCCGATGACCAGGCAGACAGGTCAAGGAAAGCAAACTTTCTCTTAAGTCTGTTGAAGACATCTAAGGCTAAAAAAAAACTTGATTCACAGAAATCTATCAAGTATGTTTTTTGTTTTCTTTATATATTTGTTCCATTGCTGTAATGCACACTTTTAGTAGTATCACTCATCATCTGAAATAAAAACATTTGAAAACAATCAAACATGGACTATACACATAATCTATATACTAATTTAGAAATAACCAACTCTTCCTCTGAGTTTATTAAAAACAAAATGGTGAAATGCTGACATAGCTTTGGAGCCTAACCTTCGCAATGAGACTGGTGAACAGCTGTTGCCAGATAACAGTATTGACTTAACAACTTGTGTAATGACAACTTATTGATTTTAGGTCATTACCCTTGCTTCAACTTCTTAATTTAACCACAATTAAAAGTCAACTTTCATATATGCTTTCTTTATCCTTGTGTTCTAGAATCCATTGTTTAAAAAACAATATGAAACCAGCCTTCTGTTTCTGTTTTAGCCATCTATTCTTAAAAATATTTCACTTTTTGTACAATCACTTTTAAGTTTGCATTCTTTATTTATTTCAATTTAACTGTAATAAATCTTGCAAATAAGCATATACCTGTAAAATTGAACAAATTTGATTTAAAAATGTGTATAATAGTTCTATTTTATAACTTGCAGATCCAAGTTGAAGAAATTGTCCAGTGAAGAAGCTGTAAATAATAAAAAAGATCTTGAAACATTCATCCTGGCCAACCGCACAAAGTTAAAATGCCTTGGCATCTGTGAACGAGGTTGCCAGAAAGTGCTGTGCTACTCAAATAATTTTTTGCACAAAAAACTGGCTGTCACAGGCTCAAAGGTGAAATTTATTTACTACTTATAACTGATACCTTGTTAGAGTAAGAGGTTGTCTGTAAATGACATCGCACTTGTATTGAGGGTTCAGAAAGTTTGCTGTCACTTTTTTTTTTACTCAAAACACATTAGGAATTATTTTAATTTTAATAAAGACTTATGTTAATTATAATTAAAATTGATCAAAATAATTTTTTTTTAAAAAGTGGGATGTTCTGATATTATCCAAACAATTGGGAGGGGGAACGATGAGCATTGTCAAACATAAAAGAATGTCGTCATTTATGGATGACTCAAAAAAGTGTACTTTATACCTCATCATTATTGGGGAAGAGGAATAGAGTTTATCTTTTTCTATATCAAATGGAATAATTGTCAGTAGGACAATGTCTTGAACCAGGTGCCAATTGAGCTAAGTGGAATGTTGGCTACCTAAGCCAGGAAGTAAACAAGACTTTTTAGTTTATTAGTACTTAAAAATACTCTCCTATGAAAATGTTGCTTGAAAACACTCTATCCCATGATAAGGTAGTTTAAAAAACACAATTCCCTGATAAGGTTATCTTGAAAATGAATTCAGTTTGTTCTGTTAGCACAAAAGAAAGTGAAAATTCCACATGAATTTTGAATCAATATTTTAGCCAAGACTTGAAAAGACAAAAGGAGGTGTTGCTGAAGGGAGAGTTCCTGATCTAGATAGACTAGCCACTATCTCCTGCTGTGAAATCACATGCTCACAGGTAACTTGGGATTTATTTTTACCCACCTTACAATTTTTAGTATGCTCAACATCATGATGTGTCTTATGCTGTGTACTGTATGTAATACCTAATGTATCAGTATTAAAATATCTTTGTATTTTACCAAATCATTTGCAGATAGCTCTGAAAGAAAACAGCAGAGTGGCCAAATGGAGAGAACAAGCTCAAATGAGTCAGAAAGATATGTGGCAAGTTATTGCTGAAATGTTATCTTTTACTGGTGAGTTTATACAGTATTTTTATTCTTACAGCTCATTTGAGTTTTTGGCTCATTTTAAACTGTTTTTTTCTTACTCTAGTACTGACAATTCATAAAAAATATAATTTTTTTTAGTGTGCTTGTATTTTTTATCTAATTTGTTTCTGTAAAAATAAATGATTGAAAAGTCATATAAAGTTTTTGCTTTAGTTTTAAAAAAAGATAGTAAATTCAACTATAAATTATAATTTTTTATTCCATGCTAGACTGTGAAGGCAATGGTAGGAAATGCTGCTATAAGTTCATCAGCCTTGTGACAGGCTGCTGTCAGACCACCATACAGAAAGTTTATGTCAAGACTAGACTGGCCAAGGGGGACTCCACTAAACCAGACCATGGGATGAAGTCACATTGGAAGAAGCAGAAAGCTGAAACAGGTGAGGCCTCAATGTTTTGAACAATTTAATTTTTAAAATATGGTTGAAAATTTTTTTAACTTCATGGATCAGGTAAATAATAATTGAAAATAAATAAAAATAAGTATGCAGTTGCTTTTTGTTATACATTAAAACACTGGTATTGCTATAATGTATAATATCAATTGTTTCTGCTGGTATTACTGTAGGGGTCTGGAATATAGTAAAAATTAGTTGTGATAATTGTTGTAAGCTTTTTCATTCCTGTTTAACAAGAAGAAAAACTGCAAATTACATGAATTTATTGTAAATCAATTATTTAAAATTAAAAAGTATTCACTTAACCTAATGAACTTGAATGTTCCCTAGCTGGCTTACCAGCAGCAAAAGGGATGAAGAGTAATGTCCAGACCATTGAAAGTAAGAGCCTACAGGATGCAGGTACATCCTCCTCTGGTGCAGGCACACCCTCCATAATGGCCAGCACTGTTGTTACACTGGAGCAGAGGCTACCCCCTGTTACTGGCAACCTTCAGCCCAGCTCTTCTAATGTCTCTGTGGTCTCTGCCATGTCTTGTTTTAACCAGAGACTGGAGGAGCCCAACATGGTAAGTGTGTGGCTGTTCCATTTGGTTTTAACAAGGTTCCTTACAGAGCCAGAAACCTAGAAAAACTAATTTTCCCAAGCACTACTGAATTTTTTTATGCCTTATTTTATGGATTTATTTAATCTAGCTTTGCAAATTAGTGTTTAATGGTTTGCATGATGAAAATTGTATGATAAATAGCAAGAAATATTTGGGAATAACATGTAATATTCTGGTAAAAAAAGTTGTGGGAACCCTGTTTTTTTTTAAAGTTGTTGACTCATAAAATTAGGTATATTAGTATAATAATGTTTAGTTTCTTTTCTTTTTTTGCTCATACATATATAAAAATCTAAAGCAAGAAGTTATTTAATCTGTAACTATTTCACCAGTACAAATGGCATGAGTATATTTAACAAGTAAAAACAACATGGCTATTTCACCAGTGTAAATGCCATTAGTATATTTTACAATAAAAACAATATGGCTATTTCACCAGTACAAATGTATTCCCCTGTCCAACAGCCAGTAAGCCAGGAACAGAGGCAAGTATCTGGGGCAGCTCTCAAGGACAGGTTCTCAACTGTGTCAAATGATGATGAGGAACTCTATGCACATTTCTCCATGTTTAAACACCAGGTAATTCCTGACACTGTGGTCAAGTGGTATACTCATTTTTTGCTAACTGGTTTGTGTCACAAGAAAATGGGATTTATGGGAATTTTGTACTTGTATATGCTATTAGGCCTACTATAGTGTAGCAACATTCTTTTTAATTAAAAAAATCTCTTTTTTTACAACTACAGTAAATAAAAATAAATTCATTATTTAAAGCTCAAAGAGAAAATGTTTACATTGTTGTTAGGTAACAGAAAAGAGGCCTGAACTGCTGGAGTTGTTGAATGCTATAGAGGATGGTCTAAAGAACAGGAAGGATAGCAGCTCAGAGATGGGGCCAGCGCAGACATTTGTGCCTGCAAGTCTTGGGTCATCTGCTGGGAGTGTTCAAGTCAGCTCACTCTCATCATCTACACCAGGGCAGTCCTGTGTGAGTAGCAAAGTTCCACAAGCCGTTCTGTTAGGTTCTGTCCTGACCACAGCACACTCTGATCAGAGGAGACAGACCATGACAGTGGTCAGCTCAAACAGGTTGTCATCCGTGGAGACATCAGTGGCTAGCCAGAGTCCAGTTTTGTCACATGTGGCTAAGCAGAGTCCAGTTGTGCCCCACGGACACCCACGTAGTGCTCCTGTTTTGAAATCCCCGTTAGCTCAAGGGAAAACTCAAACCAATGCAGGTTCTCATTTTATCAAAACTTTACCTGCACTGTCTCCAAAGGTGCTGACAGGAAAGCAGGTGGCATCCCCCATGGGGTCAAATCTTACTGGAAATCAAGTTTCTAATGACCAGATGCAGTTGACTTCAAAACTCTGCTGGAACCAGGTCTCAACTCCTACCACCCAGACAAAGTTGACCAGTGTGGAAAAGATGGATTCTCTACCTCATTCCGACCTGCTTGTTTCTTATCTCATACCTACAAGTGGGGGGAGCCAGAACCTTGTTCAGGGTCAGATGTCAACTCATTCAGGTACTAACATGTCCTGCAGTGTTGTTACATCTAATTCATCCACTGGTCAGTTAACAGCTCAAGCTCCTGGTCTCACTCAGGACACATTGTCTGTGTTTCTCCCCAATGAAACTCTCAACCTGCAACATCCCAAAGTCTTTCCCATAGATTTCAACAACACGGACAATTCTAGTATCAATTACCTGTTAGGGGCTTCACCTGCTCCAGGTACAAACTTCATCCAGGTGCTGGCACCTCAGAGTCTTCCTGATCAGGGGTCATTAAACACGATGGATGGCAGCTCACAGTCTAAGATTCAGGGAAATGCTGCTGCTTCACAATCTCAACCCCCAGCCTCAACTTCTCAGTACTCTAGTCTCTTTGATGCCCTCGCAGATTCCCCAGTCAGAGAACTGGCTCAGCAGTCGTTACCTGAAGCCCAGCCAAAGAGGTCTTATCTCCCTGAGATATTGGTGACCTCCATGAACTCTACACCAGCGGTATCTGCTTCAAGTGTGCTGTCCAACATAGCAGATATCAGCACAGATGGTCCAAGTCAGAGCTCAACCAAGACTGTGGCATCCCACTTAGGATCAGCTCAACTCACCGCAAGCTCACACAGTACTTCTACTGCTCATAAGATGAGCCGCACTAAAGAGCCACCTCAGGTGGTTATAGTCAACCCTTATATTTCTGGCATGGAAACATCAGATCTCAGCTCCATCTTAACAACCTCCCAGTCTTCATACTCACTTCCTACTTCCCAGCTGACCAGCTCGTTCCAGGCTAATGATAACATAACACTCCAGTTGGGTACCCAGCAGCCTCATCTCAGTAACCTTGGCAACCAACAAACTCTTCAGCTGATCACATCTATGTCCAATCCACCTCAGGCAGCAAACCAATCATTGACTCCATTTATTCAAGCCAGAGCCAATACCAATGTGTTGATCTCTCAAAATATGAACGCAGGAAACCACTCAGCAAGTGTGCTAAATATAGCACCAGGGAACCCACCCCCCAGTAACCCTTCATCCAATGCAACTCTAAATATAACCCCTGGAAATTCAACCCAGAATAACATCTCAGCTAACTCTGTTGTAAACATAGCCACAGGAAATCAAACCCTCGCCATCTCTCAGAGCAACCCCACCCTCACCATCCCCCAGAGCAACCCAACTTTCACCATTCCTCAGAGCAATCCAACCTTCACCATCCCCCAGACCAACCCTACTCTCCCCCAGGGCACCCCATCTTCTGATCTCACCAACATGACTCTGCTGTCTTTAGGAAACCAGCTGTACCAACTGGTGCCAAACACTCTAACCGGGCAGTTCCAGCTGATTCCATTACTATGTGCCAACACGTCAGCCACACCAGTCAATCAGTTTGTGTTAAACCTGCCTCCTGGAACAACCTCTAGTTTTCAGGCTGTCTCTGATCCTGTGAGTACTCTAAGTACTGACACAACTCACCAGTACCAACAGGGAGTGACTCTAGTATCCCCTCCATTCCCTAGCAATCAGACAGCAAGTCAAGGACCAAGACATGTCTTGCCTAATTCAAGGTCTGGTGTAGGGAGCCAGCAGGCTGAACAGCAACCAAGCACTGGAGCAACTTTCATATCTAACTTAGGGGATGCTAATCACAATCAGCTGTTAGTTCCAGTGTCTAGCAGTGAGGCTAATACTAATTCATTGGTGACTCTCATTCCTCATCAAAGTGGTCTGCTATCTAGTCAATTTGTCCCCAACCAACAACAAATCATGGTATCAAACATACAAGACAATGCGAACAATCCAAACCAGCAGTTGATCCAGTGGACCACCCCTGGACAAGGCCAGGCCAGCTTGGGTGTAGAGTCTGGGCAAGGTTCCGCCAACCATGTCCTGTTTGAGAACCAGTCAGTAGAAACACAGAAACTTGTCAGTGAGTTCATCTTGTCAAGTCTCTGCCAGAATTCTGACAGAAATCTTCTCTTGCAACAGTTGGCGCCAGTCTCTACTCCTAATTCTTCCGTCACTGTATCGAATCTTAACCATAAGCAAGCATCTTCAACACACCAAAACACAGTGTTCAAATCCACAATTGACAACAAGTCCAAGCCTGTAGGTTGTCCAACAGATGGTATGTTAAAGCCTGCTTCTTGTCCAGCAAGTGAAATGAATCAAATTCATGGTTCCATGTCTCAATTGGAAGTGTTGCTGCAAAGATCAGATACATCACAAGCCAACACAATAGCCAACCAAACGAATGCCTGGCAACTAAATGTGGAGGCCACTGACAATGCAAGAAAGTCTTACCAGCAAAGTTCAACTAACTCTTCTTCTGTCCCCTCACAACCTCAACTAAAAGCAAATATTAATCCATCAATGAATGCAAACAGTCAGATCACTAAACAGGGTCTTACCCTGTCTGCTGGTAGCTCTTCATTATCCTCGAATACAGTTAATGCATCTAACTCCAGACTGCTGTTTGACCATCTACAAAAGCTGCCTGCAAAATCTAGCATCAACTATTTGCAAGGAAACATGCATAGGGAAAACACACAGTCACATACTGGCCATCAAGTCAGGCTGAGAGAAAGCCCACAGTCATTGAGTGACCAATCCAGGTTAACAGAGCAAACACATATGGACCAACAAGCCATGTTACGAGAAAACACCCTGTCTCATACCGACCAGCAAGTGCAAGACAATAAATCCACAACCCAGCAGTCCAAAGCAACAGTGCTGGTACAGCCACAGAATGTCCATATATTCATGAGCCCCTCATCAGGCAGTGGTAAAGATGAAGACAAACTCTGCCTACAGAAAGTGTCTGAGGACAAGAGGAGTGAAGTCATACCACTGCTGGTGGCGTACCTGCATGGGAATCCTAACGTCAGCTGTGAGGTCACCCCCAGTCAGGATTTCTGTTCACCTGGTCCTTCAGGTACTGACATGGAAGGGAACCAACTCAGGCAAGCCATGGGCACTAACCATGGCCCCAGCACTGTGGTCACCATCTCCACCAATCAGGAGTTTGTAGAATCTCTAGGGAAAGGTCAGTCAGGGGTCGACTCCTCCTACCTGACTGGTGAGTTCCCTGCTGGGCAGAATGTCTCATCATCCACATCATCCAGTCCCAGTGAAGACTACACTTACCAGTGTTCTACCTCACATGCGGCTCAGGTTGTGCCTGCATCAGGCCACGCCTCATCCACTCTGTCACAATCTCTGTACACTTACACAACAGCCTCAGCGGATGCCACAAGCAGTGACAGGTCCTGTCCAGCTTTTATCCGGGCTACCAACACACCTACGGATGCTGTAGGCCCCCCAAACATCACTGTGATGTCACCATCCAGACACGGCTCATCCCACATGCCCAGACTTAGAGTAGATACCTGTAGGACAACTTCTGCTACTTTCCCCCTGTCAGATACTGTAGGTGTTGCCATGCCAAATCAATCTACTAAAGCTGGGTTGCAGTTGATTAGTCACGCTTCATCAAACAAAAGTCAGTCAGGCATGCCGGTAACTAGTGCATCGTTTGCAAGTGTGATTGGCACCCCAATGTCCAACCCATCAAGCACAAACCTTACAAGAGTACCAGCGACCAGTCAGGCCAATGTCAAGGTTGTTGGTGGGTCCATGCCCGCCCACAGAAACATAAGTGTTTCAGTGTCTAGTAACAGTACCCAGAAACCTGGCAGTCAGCTCACCCTAGTCTCATCAAGCCAAGCCACATTGCCAGCGACGCCTCACAGTAAAGCCAGCACCAACTACATCACACCTAAACCTTCATCAACAGCCGCATCCCACGCCACATCTGCCAAGATCCTAGAGGAACGCTTCAAGTTAAACTGTAACCAAACAAAACCAAGGAACAGGCCCTACACTGTGCTGCAGCTACTGCAGCAGCAGGAAAAAGAACAAGCCCTAGCAAGTCAGGGCCCCACCCCTAGCGCTGCCAGCAGTGTGGGAACTACCAGCATGCCAAGCCAGACCAGCTCTGCCTCGCTGCCTCTGTACACAACTGCCAATGTACTCAGTGCCACACAGCCTATTCCCACACCAGCTGGTCCCCTCACCCTTGTCATCCCAATACCCGCAGCTTCTCAAGTTTTTACTAAAGATGGCTCCGACAACAGGGCTTTATTTGGGCAGATCTCTTTCAACAGCAGCAATCCAGGTGTTGCTATCCTACAGCCCAGCCTCCTCCAACCCTCACCAACAACTCAGGGATCCACTCTAGTGTTGAAGAAAGCCATTTCTCAACCAGATACCAGCAACCAACCTGCATCCCACAGCACCACAGCCTCACCTGCACCACTCCTGACCAGTAAAATCGGACCGGACCCTCTTACATTACCCAAGCTATCTAATTCCACTGCCTTTACTCCAACACATTCTAAAAGCATCAGCGGCAGCACTGCTAGTACCTTGACAGCATCCAAACTTGCACCTAAAACTCTGAAGCTACAAACCCCAACAAGCATTGCCTGTAATCTGGCTGCCCAGTCCTCACTTCCCCCGTTTGAAGCCAACATTAAACTCATTGGCCAGCCTCAGGTGTCTGGTAACACTTCAGCTCTAAACAAAAAATTGAATGAGAAATCTCTAAAGTTGAGACCTTTACCACAGTCAGAGTCTCAGGTACAGTTGAGCACCAACACAAACAGGCCTGACTTCAAACCTCAGGACAGAAAGCCTGGAGAAGATACCCACAGCAGGCCAGGCTCTGTTGAATCAACTGCCTCAACACACTCGTCTCAATTAGATTCACCTTACCCATCCAAGCAACATGTGCTCCAGTTGAAAAGGTCGCAGGTCAATTCTACAGCTTCTGAAGTTAACCCCAGCTATTATGCTGATAACACACCCAAGGTCAAAGTTCATTTACAAGACAATGGTGCTGATACGGTTCAGTTCTTTCAGATTGATCAGTCAAATGCTGATGCTGTATACAGAAGCATGGAACAGTTCACACACATCCCTCACCATACAAAACCCACCAACACTTTCCCCTCAAACTCCACTAATGCTCTCCCCATCAATTCAAATTCCCTCCCCACCCACTTGAAGACTACAAATTCTCTCCCCACCCACTTAAACATAACTGATCATTACAAAGATAAGAAAAGCTTACCTTCCCAAAACCCATTATTAGCAAATATTTTGTTTGAATCTTCACAAAATATTTCCACGGGTACCCAACAAACTTTGTCAGATGCCGTTGTCAGAATGCTCTCCTCCCACAATAAAGCTACACTTGAAAGAGCATCACAAGGCCCATTTGTCCATAAGAATGAGACCCCGCCCAGTGGACCTAAAGTAAACCCATCCCTTGACCAATGGTCAAGAGGTGGTCAACCATCAGGTTCAGATACCTTACAATCCCCGACAAACACTCTGTCACGCCTGCTGAATGCTCCCGTCCTTGAGAACACGCCCAGTCGTAGGATAGAAAAAGTCATCAACGACATCTACAAGTTCCCTGATGATGTGGAAGACACGCCCAATGCTGTGAGGTACCAGTCTGATCAGCCTGACAACATGGGCTCTGTCCATAAGAAACATGGCAATCAGTTTGACAGGTCCAAGGCCAACGTCCCTTTCACTGATGACCTGTGTATTGATAATGCTTCAGAAAACTCCATGTTTAAACATTCTAAGCATGGCCATGAAAAAATCATCTCGCCTAAAACAACAACTAAAATCAACTTGAAGAAAGTCCAGTTTTCAGATGAAATTGGCAATAGCTCCATACCTACTGAAGTAAACAGCCTAAACATGATGCACTCAGCACCATATAATTCTGTTTCATTGGCTTCCAGAAATTCATCAGAAGATAAAGTCTATAAATCAGATTCCCGCAACACTAATTTCATGTATAAAGAGGACCACGAAGAACTTTCTTTGAATCAGGCTGTATTGAAAGGTACCATGTCACATAGAGGAGGGCCTAAGGACAGCAAGCTTAAAGCTTTGCTGTCTAGTAAACCTGACGGTACTTTTGCGTTAAGATATGCAGAGGAAAGTTTGTCTGAATCTGGTGTTCTTATATCAGGTGTTGGGTTTAAAAAAATGAATAAGGATGACGCATGCAGTGGGGAGTATCCTAAGGACTTGGCTAATACTTCCAATTATGTACGCTCAAAATTCTACAGTGACCAGAGAGATGAAGAACTGTCTTCACCAGTAGAGAGTGCATCTAAACACATGTTACCCTCCTATCCCCAGGACTTTGCCAGCAATTCTTCTTTTGAAATTCTCTCCCCTAAAGGATACAGCAAGTTGTCTGGTCAAAGGGGGAAAACTCTGCCTAATGTTGTGTACATGGAAGATAACTCTGAAAGTGGCAGCCATGAAGACAGGTATGAGATGGGCAAGCCCACAACGTTCTTCAGAAAAGACATGGAGGAGGCTGTGGAGAGACAGAATCTAGAACGCTCTCAGCTTCTCAAGTCTAATTTTGAGCTGGCACAGCAGATGAACCAGAACACAGAGAAGGGTTATGCCAAGTTTCACAGCCCTTATGTTGAGTTTCACAACTATGGGGATTTGAACTATGGAGAAATAAACTCAGCAAGCAAAGATGATGCTTCTAACGATATAACCCCGGAGTATGTCGAAGCCTTTCAAAAGGTTAATAAGGATGGTAGGAGTCATGTGGAGGAAAATAAACTTTTTTACAAATCCAGGTTGGATCATCTTTCTCCGCATGAAGATGGCATCCATAAGAAACACCTGCCTTCTTCTGGAATCTTAAAGCCTTCTCCGCTGCCTGAGTGTGAGCCTTTCAAACAAGTGGATGGGCAGAGAGTAAGGCACCCTTCAGGTGTGAAAAATATAGAAACTGATTTCTCCTACCTGGACAGCAGACACAGGTCAGCAGGGGCTCACAAGTCTTTTGGTGACCTGGCTGACGGCATCCGTGGCAGAGATCCACTGGTGTCGTTTTCCAGCATGAGCAGACATGAAGCAGACTCCTCCCCACAGCATGAGAGGCAGAGATACCCCTCGGCTGAGTTCCTAGCACTGGACTCATCAAGACATAGATCTACAGCTCAGATGTTCAAGTTCAATGACCAAGATCCCCCGCCTTATGATATTTCCCAGCGCCAGAGAAATCCTTCCTCCTCATCCCTTAAGGCTTTTTTCTTATCAGATTCAGAATTTCCAAATTTTGATGGAGGAAACAGAAGCAGGAACCCGTCCTCGTCCTCCCTGATGAAATTAGAGTTTATTGAGCACTCGTTTCACCCCATCCGGAGCCGGAACCCCTCTGGCTCATCAACACGCAGGAGCCGCCCTGGGAGCAGCAGCTCGGACAGAGAGTTCCACATGAATAATTTTGATGAGCTACCCATTTTTTCAGATGTCATGCGCACAAGAAGTAGAAACAGCAGCGGTGAGTCCCTTGAACCAACCATTGACACCATTATACTGGATCCAAACTTCCAGAACTATGTCAGGCACAAGTTCTAGGTGTGAATATCCACATTCATAAGCTGATACAAACTTCCAGAACTATGTCAGGCACAAGTTCTAGGTGTGAATATCCACATTCTTAAACCGATTTAAACTTTCAGAACTGTCAGCTATTGGGGAAAAAATTATGTTCTTAACTGAGCTCAAAATGCAGAACACCTATTTGTGATGAACTATATTTGTAAACAGCTGTGCTAAGTTCTGCTACATTGGCATTTAGCTAAGAATGAAGAGACATGAATTGATGAATCACTTAAATAGCTGGATGAACTTTATGATGTACCTACTTTTTGCTTTAATTTGCTGTAGTTGTATTTATGCAATGGTAACTAAGTTTATCACTGATTTCAATGAATGCTGCAAAATTGTATAATAAGCTGTTAAATATCCTTTACAATGTCAATGTGAGTTAAGCATTTTTTTGTATTTTTTTCTCCAAAAATTGTTATATATTTTCTCAGTTAAGTGGTTTACACATTGAATAGATTGTACTCACAGTACCATGAGTTTCATGGTGCAAATTCTCTCGTTCTTTTAATGTTGGTTAATGATTCCTATGCTTCACTCAATGCAGGTTTTTACAGCTTTTTCACATTTGTTAATTTTTAATTTTGTTATAATTTTTAAAAGTATTGATGACATGAGAGATCTTCTGTAGACATGTCACTGACATGGCAGCACTGACATGACTAATCTTCCAAAAAATGGCACTGATGTGATAGATCTTTAGTACATGTATCATTGACATAACAGATCATCCATACAAATGGCACTGATATAACAGATCTTCTATACACGTCGCTGACATTACAGATCATTTGCTGATTGATGGATAGACCAAGAACATATTGTACATACTGATCTGTTTTTCTTTTTTTTGGGTGAAATTTGCAACTTTTAGAATTATATGCATTGTGGAAACAAGTCTGTATTTCAGATTTATACTTTTAGCTGTACCTGGCTTTAAATATCTAACTTTATTTTCTGATCTACAGTGCCACACTTCTGTATACTTTGTCACCATTATGACATGTTGAAATAAAACCATGTCACTTTTAGTACAAGTTGACAGATTGCTGTATCACAAATAGGACTTGTTGTATCATCCCAAGGACTTCCAATTTTCTGTCATCCCCATTACTATACTTTCTACAGTATCCATATAGATATAATATTATGCAAATTTTTCTTTAAGAATTTCTATATTTTTTACTTAAAACATTTATGCAATGGATATATTTATGTTGGTATACCCTCATTCAATAGCATACATGTTGTGTGTTGTACTAGGTATATCATTTTTTTATATTTGTGCATAGTTTAATAATTCTAGTCTGCTTTACAATTGAGGGAAGATCTTTTACTATGAATTTTATTAGACAAATTATATGTAAAATACAATATATATGAATTGACACATACTAGTTGTTTTTTTTTTTTATGTTAAAAATTGTTACAATTTTTTAAAGGCTGTGTTATTCATAGGTAGCCTATCACTAGTGTTATTTTTCACATTGGATTTACAAAAATTTTGTGTTAAACACATCTCATGTTTGAACAATTGATATATTCTCTTAGGGTTCATACAAACCCGATGAAAATCCTGCCCATTTACAACAAAAAAGTCACCCACCATGCACTCATTTAGAAAAGTTACAAGGTTCATTATACCGGTATTTAACTTTAATTAAACCTGTCTTTAAAGCAATCGAGGACTTAACTATCTTAACTTCGACTGTGTAAAATAAACAAGTTACAAAAAAAAATTGTAATATCTATAACCCTCGATACTTCAGAAGTCGTATGCCGTTTCAATGAAAATAATATATTCAATAATAGCTCGTTTAACATATATAAAACAAATATAAAAAACCTTTCTAAAAGCAAGCTTTTAATTTTAAATGCACTGAAAAAAAATAAAACTAGGTTGCTTTTTTTTTCATAAAAGCGTTGGTTGCTAAAATATGTAAAAGATTTCATGAGTAACAAAAGCAAACTAGTTTTATTTTCTTATTTTCAGTGCATTTATTAAAAGCTTGCTATTAGAAAGGTTTTTTATATTTGTTTTATTGTATACTTTTGAGTGATTCCTAATTTACGGAGTGGACACGACTAAAACTATTTGCTATAAAACACCATCACTAGATCGCGATATCTAAAGACGATTATCTGCCCCGGCGAAAGCAGCCGTCAGTGACCATGTTTTACAGACGACACATTCTGTTACCTCCCCTTAGTTTCAAATTGTTTAAAAAGGTTATTATCTGACCCTAATAGCCTCCACTACATCGACCGGCTTTACGATTGTAAACATGATCGTGAACCACAGCTCAACAGAGTGTTAGAATGATCGCATCTAGTTAGTTAATATACTTCTATTATTGAATAGTGTAATCTATCAAGTAATAAAACGTTATTATCTCCCTTAGTGTCGAAACTGTTTAATTATTTATTTTTAATGATTAATTAAACATTAAATTAAAAAATAGATAGACTTGTATTGTCATCCAAGTGGAACGTATAGGGAAAGTTTGAACGAACTCGCTGCATTCGATTTGGATCAAAATGTGTAGTTTAAAGGAATATATATTTTACATAAAATGAATCAAATGTCTCAAAAATAATAAAATAATAGTCCATTCTAGTTTGAAATTCAGTGCACGGTTTTTCAAATTTTAGTTTCAGGATTGGTAAAATTTTGGGATTGATTGTTAGGATTCACTTAAAAAAATGATTGGCACCCCTGCATGATTTGACACACCCACCCATGGATGTTGTGCCTTGCAACAAAATTTGTAAAGCAACAATTGGTGTAAAACATGATACAATGAAAGGTACTTAAGACAACACAAGGGACAGGAAAAAGCAGTCACAGTTCTAATCATTTTTAATGAATTCATTAAGTTTTTTTTTCTTTGACATCATAAAGACACATGACATTTTAGAGACTATTTGAAACAATGGCATGAATAAGGTGGGATATTTTGAAACGATGGCATGAATAAGGTGGGATATTTTAAAAAATTGACATGAATAAGGTGGGATATTTTGAAACGATGGCATGAATAAGGTGGGATATTTTAAAAAATTGACATGAATAAGGTGGGATATTTTGAAACAATGGCATGAATGAGGTGGATATTTTGAAACGATGGCATGAATGAAGTGGGTTATTTTGAAAAAAAATTGACATGAATAAGGTGGGATATTTTGAAAAAATGGACATGAATAAGGTGGGATTTGTATGGTGAGACTGGACCAATATGATGAAAACTGTCCCACGTTTTATGGTGCACATTTTATACAATCTCTGCTTGGTGCTAAATTAAGTGTTACATTCAGAGTTTGTGTACACAATAATTCGCAATAATTCACAATCATTCGTGTATAAAATGAAGTGTGATTTTCAGATTCAGAGTTTGCGTACAAATTAAGTGTGACTTTCACATTCAGAGTTTGTGTACAAAATTAAGTTTGACTCATATTTAGAGTTTGTGTACACAATGAAGTGCGACTCACACTATCTCGGTTTGGTGTAGCTGCGGCTACATTTTATCATCCCCGTATAGCACAAGTACACACATCAAACACTCATCATTTAATTCAAATCGTGCACCAGTCTTGTCACACAATGTCACTTCTCACACATCATTTTTACACCATTACAGACGCATCATTAAATAGTTTTACTACATCATGGTATATATTAATATATTTAAATATAAGATAACAAACATGCAATTGACTTGTTGGTACTTTCTCAAAAAGCATTCAAGAAAGCAAAATGAGTATCAATTATTTTGTATAACCCTTGAAAGGTAACCAAAGGTAACCAAAGTGGCTGGGTACCATCCCCATGTATATGTTTTTACGCCTTGAGACGGAAGGTTGTTTCATCATTCATTTCCTCGAAAATATTTCAATCAATCATGTATAGTAGCTAAACGATAAGCACTGCTTATGTTTAGTACAAGAGGGAGACTGGAGCAAGACCAGTCGTGGAATTTTTCCATGATCAGAAGACAGACGGACGTAGAAAAGAATGCCTGTTTTTGATGACGACTCTACGGTGGTAAGGGATGCAAGATATAAGGTTTAGACCTACCACACTCGAGACTTACCAGGACAACGGACGTGCGACGAAATCTGGACTTTGGCGGTCAGAACTCCAACAGGAAATTTTTCACCTCCCACCCCCCCCCCCTCCTTCATACGCATTAGAGTTTCTTCCGGGCGTCTCTTCGAACGAAATAGAATTTATATTGAAAACATACTTTTACCAGTGTCCGCCCTCCCTCTCCCGGAAAATGTTGTCCGCCCACCCCCACCCCCCCCGAAAATATCAAGAGCCGCCCCCCTCCCCAGAGAAAAAAGTCTGGAAGAAACACTGATAAGCATACACACACTTGGTTATGTAAGGGCACAATATAATATTCATATGGTGATATAATATAAGAACACATCAACTTCACACTACAGTTTAAGATATAAATATTTAGTTTATGTAAGTATATAGAATATATATATAGAGAGATAGCCAATATATAGTCATACATGCATATATATATATATATATATATATATATATATATATATATATATATATATATATATATATATATATATATATATATATATATGCCCTATATATATGTTTAAAGGGGCTATATTAATTTGTTTATATCAACGATATATTTTAGTTTGCATATAATTGCATTTTACAGAAAACACCTAGAGCAAATAATTAAATTATAGATGTCGAGATTACAGTGATATAGAGCGAATGTTTTCAATAAGTGATTCAGCTTATTATACGACTATATGAATCACACTGAGCCCAAACCATGAAACGTTTGGTAACAAAAATAGCTAGATCTAACTAAATCGTGCAGAACAAAATATGTAAATACAGGAAAATAAAAAGTCAAACTTGGTTATGATAAAGACAAATCTAAAAAACATTTAATTAAATAAAATCAGTACGATTCTGTATATAAGCCTATAAGTATAGAAGCAAAAAAACATAATAGATAAGTATTTTAAAAGAAAAATATCATAACACCTTGTATTCACTTTAAAAAATATATTCATAGTCTAGAAATATTTTGACACATTGTATTCGATTTAGCTAATTTACCAGTTAGAGATTAAACCCCCATAAACGGATTCATTCACATATTTGGTTAAACAACATATGTTAGCCAGGTGATAACATTTATAATTTAAAAAAAAACAACAATTATTGTTTTAAACATGTGATATAAAGTATAATAAAGTATACAACATCAAAACATAGTATAACGTATATCGAGTTAAAATAACACACGCACCCAAGTATAATCTTATTTTATATACAAATTATACACACATTAAAATTTGCCAATAGAGGAGCGTTGGACTTAGCGTTTAAATAGTGTTATAACGATTTATAACGATCTCATTGAGAAATATCAATACATGTATTGCACAAAATATCAACATTCTGTAGATTATAAAACAGTTTTTAAAATTCTTAGGTCATTTATTATATCCTATAATTAATTGTAAAAATAGATTGAACCTCATCCCTAACCTGTGTAACGTTATATAACTTTTGCATAGACCACCACCCCTAATAGTCTACACTCCCCCCCCCCCCTTTTCACTTCTCTATGAACACGGATACTATATAACACTAGAAACATGTTTAGGGTTTAAATAATGGGAGTCACATTAGTAGGGAAAAAATAGCTTCTTTCATCTTCATCAAAAACAATTTCAAACCTTCAATAGATTTAAATAAAAAAAAAATTCTCTATTGGTCTTTATTTGCGAAAAAATTTTAAACAGCAGAATTCAACGTAATGAAAGCATGTCGAAAATCGTCTTATTTACCATTGCTCTCTACCACAATCCACCCACAAAGGCTACATATTTATATCACAACATAATACAGTTATAAACTCTTCTTATAGAATTTCTGTAGATTACTAACTGATTATCTGCATTATTCTAATATTTGACACTTCACCACCCTCCACCCCACCCATCTGCATTCCTTTTCTTTCGACCAGCGTCATCTTAATCGCAGACCTGTAAAAATTGGAATTTCCAATATATGACAATGGTTCTATTTTCATCTCAGTCGTACGTTGTATCCAAAAGCTGTTTAATTTTCCCCTTTTCTTCTTAACGCACATGTGTAGCTTTTCATATTCTGCATCTAAAAATGGCAGTGTATTTAGTGCCGTTCAATGCCCTAACCTGCTTTTAGTAGTTGGGCACGTTTAGTGAGATGTTTGTTTTTATTTTGATGTGTTTCTTTGCGCCGTGTGTTTACATTTTAAAATCTCCAAATTCACACAGAATCCTGTCTTGGTGTCGGTTGGTTTGATTGGCCGACGTGACCTATATAAAAAGAAAAGTGTCCGCTGGTTGGTTATCTAATCAAGCCTGACACGAATCCAACCAATCCAACGCTTTGTTACAAAACAATCGGAGTGGGGGTAGTCATCCAAGCTGCAATATAATTCCCAGACACAACTGTACTGTTGGAGCAAACTCAAATATCAATACAGTTCTAATTTTAGTTCATTTTACTCTCTGAAACGGACTGGACTGTTGATAAGATCCAATGTTGGGCAATATATTGTTCAAGTTGCTTGAAGAAGTCAGTTTAAAAGAAATATTTTTAACAAGTGGGCTTTAAATACCCGGCACACAAAACACATCACGTCAATAACTCTTTTTGAGAACTTCTACGATTTGTTAACTGTTCTTCGCCAATATATAAAAAAGATCTTTGTCAAAGAACCTATGTCCAAGATTTATCAGTCAGTCTAAAACATTTCGTGCTATTAAGTCGAATTATCTTAATTAACAAAATGTTCATGCATTCCTCATGTCTATAAACTGACCACCACATCCCATAATTTACTGCTCCGTCTTCTTATCAAGTCCTTTCCCATCAATGCCAACAACACGTCTTTTATTTTCTCTTGCATTTAAAGCATCTTTAAAAAAATAAACACGACGAAGAAGAATCTAGGTTTTGAGCACCGTGATGATAAATCCGTGAAGAAAACTCCACATTTTTACGCAACCCGCAACGAGATGCACCACACAGCACCGCCAGCTTACACGTATGACGTCATCTTGATGATGACGCCTTTCTTTTTATGTCATATGTTGGAGGTCTCGGTCTCGTCTGCTTGGACCTGGATCTGCTTGGCGTAGACCTTCTTGTCGTCACGATAGAAGTTGTAGCGGACAGCGGCGTGACGGCTGGAGGGGGTAGAGAGATAGATCAGTGGGTGGCATTCTACAGGCAGTGGTACAACCAGAGGCGTAGCGAGGGGGGGGGGGCGGACGGCACCGGGTGACACCATTTAGGGGGGGGTGACACCAAGGCAAAAAATAGAAAAATATATAGAGAAAAACTTGAGGGGGGTGGTGCAAATCGAAAGTTTGACGGCGGAGGGGGTGCAAATCAAAAGTTTGAGGGGGGGGGGGGGTGTGTGCAAATCAAAATTTTGAGGTGGGGGTGTGCAAATCGAAAGTTTGAGGGGGGGGGGGTGTGCAAATTTGAGAGTTTGTCCCCGGGAAGGGTCGCTAAGCCTCTGGGGGGTGACACCATTAAGTGCCGCACCGGGTGACACCCGACCTCGCTACGCCACTGGGTACAACTAGCAGACTTACAGTATAAGATTTTTTTACTGACTTGAAAACAACACAGATTGTTATTTATAAAAAGTCCATCATAGTGGCGTTTTTATTGTTTATTTACTTTTTCTATGTTTGATTAGTTTGTAGCGTAATGAAAATATTAACAAAAACGTTTTAAACAATTCCACACAATTAAATGGCCTTAAACACATTTTTTAAACTGCTGCTAAGTCTTATTTAAATAGTTGCCATTATTGATTACATAATTATTTTATTTACGAGATAAGAGATAGACAATAAAAAAAATTAAAGGGTTTCTTTGAAAATTGTAATTAGTAATTTACTTTTGACACTAGAAAGTTATTACTTAACCATTATTCATTACTTGTTGAAATAAAGATTTTAGTTTAAAAAATATTTGTAGCCTCTATTAAATAAAAAAATTATATATATCAAGAAATAACTTCCCTTTACTTTATCAAACTATTTAAATCATGAATTGCGTCCCTTTGACCATTAATTTAAAAAATTTAGTAAATTTAGAAATACAATTTACAATAGCACCATAAAATCGCTTGGATTGGTAAATTCCTTTCACCAAGACTAGAGAACCCAATACCAAAACTAATCTATGCCATCCTCTTCACAAAGTCTGGACTAGACCACCTCTGACTCCATGGCTTGAGTTGAACTTTCCTTCCCTCTACATACACACAAAACTAGGCTATGACTCACTCTAATACTAATACTAGACTAGACCACCCCCTCACACTAATACTAGACTAGACCACACCTCACACTAATACTAGACTAGACCACACCTAACACTAATACTAGACTAGACAAACCCTCACACAATACTAGACTAGACCACACCTTCCCACACTAATACTAGACTAGACCACCCCCTCACACTAATACTAGACTAGACCACCCCCTCACACTAATACTAGACTAGACCACACCTCACACTAATACTAGACTAGACCACACCTAACACTAATACTAGACTAGACAAACCCTCACACAATACTAGACTAGACCACACCTTCCCACACTAATACTAGACTAGACCACCCCCTCACACTAATACTAAACTAGACCACACCTCACACTAATACTAGACTAGACCACCCTTCAAACTAATACTAGACTAGACCACCCCTCACACTAATACTATACTAGAGCACCCTTCAAACTAATACTAGACTAGACCACCCCTCATAGTAATACTAGACTAGACCACCTCTCACTCTAATACTAGACTAGACTGCCCATCACACTAATACTAATGCTAGACTTGACCAGAACACCCCTCATACTAATACTAGACTAGACCATCCTCACACAATACTAGACTAGACCACCCCTTACACTTATGCTGAACTAGACCACCCCTCACACTTATGCTGAACTAGACCGTCCCTCACCTGTTGGTCGAGCCGTGGCCATTCATCCTCCTGCAAATGTTGCTAGACCACCCCTCACACAACACTAGACTAGACCACCCCTCACACAACACTAGACTAGACCACCCCTCACACAACACTAGACTAGACCACCCCTCACACAACACTAGACTAGACCACCCCTCACACAACACTAGACTAGACCACCCCTCACACAAGACTACACCTGTCTCTCACCTGTTGGTCGAGCCGTGGCCATTCATCCTCCTGCAAATATTGGCATCCTCTGAGAAGTACTCCGTGTAGTAGTCTCCGTGCGTGTTCCAGCACGGGCACATGGCGAACAGCTGTCTGAACTCACGCTTGAACTTCTCCTGCACGTCATCAACAGACATTTGTTACACGTCACCAACAGACATTTGTTACACGTCATCAACAGACATTTGTTACACGTCATCAAACAGACATTTGTTACACGTCATCAACAGACATTTGTTACACGTAATCAACAGACATTTGTTACACGTCATCAAACAGACATTTGTTACACGTCATCAAACAGACATTTGTTACACGTCATCAACAGACATTTGTTACACGTCATCAAACAGACATTTGTTACACGTCATCAACAGACATTAGTTACACGTCATCAACAGACGTTTGTGACACGTCATCAAACAGACATTTGTTACACGTCATCAACAGACATTTGTTACACGTCATCAACAGACGTTTGTTACACGTCATCAAACAGAGATTTGTTACACGTCATCAACAGATATTTGTTACACGTCATCAAACAGAGATTTGTTACACGTCATCAACAGACATTTGTTACATTATTTCATACGCCATAAACATATTAATTTCATAAATTTTACCTCTATTTCCTCTTTCATATTATAATTTAAATCGATTTAAAAAAATTATTCAATACATTTTATAAATGGCTTCTATCTTTTAATCTTTTGTTTCGGTATTTTTGCCATGTTTTACTATTTTTCGTTATTATTACTTTACTTGCATACACAAAAAGTTAAATCGATCACAGGCTTTAGCTTTTATTTTTATTTATTTTTTTGTTAAAATCTAATCGTATTCGTTTAAACCTTTGAAACAAACCAAAAAAAATTATAATATTGGGGTCAACATGCTACAAATTTTATTGATTTTAATAAAAAAAAATTTACTTTTCAATTTCTGAACAAAATGTAAGAAAACCACTTCTGGTCACACGATCAGTGTGTTAAATCACCAGTCACGTGACTAGCCTATCACGTGATGTGCCGTACTTACATTGAGAAGCCCATAGATAAAGGGGTTGTAACAGGAGTTGCTCATGGCCAACCAGTTGGAAGTGAACCAGATGATGTTGATGTACTTGTAGCTGAAACATACAAATGTTTAGGTAAACATTCGGTTGTTGAGGTAAACATTCCCAGGTTTAGGTAAACATTCCCAGGTTTAGGTAAACATTCCCATGTTTAGGTAAACATTCCCATGTTTAGGTAAACATTCCCAGGTTTAGGTAAACATTCCCAGGTTTAGGTAAACATTCCCAGGTTTAGGTAAACATTCCCATGTTTAGGTAAACATTCCCAGGTTTAGGTAAACATTCCCAGGTTTAGGTAAACATTCCCAGGTTTAGGTAAACATTCCCATGTTTAGGTAAACATTCCCAGGTTTAGGTAAACATTCCAAGGTTTAGGTAAACATTCCCATGTTTAGGTAAACATTCCCAGGTTTAGGTAAACATTCCAAGGTTTAGGTAAACATTCCCATGTTTAGGTAAACATTCCCAGGTTTAGGTAAACATTCCCAGGTTTAGGTAAACATTCCCAGGTTTAGGTAAACGTTCCCAGGTTTAGGTAAACATTCCCAGGTTTAGGTAAACATTCCCATGTTTAGGTAAACATTCGGTTGTTGAGGTAAACATTCCGTTTTTTAGGTAAAAATTCCCATGTTTAGGTAAAAATTCCGTTGTTTTGGTTTGGTGTCACCCCCTCCCATTCCATTTTATTAGTTTTGTAGATAAAACATTATTTTGAAACTAATGTTTATGCTTTTTCGTTTTGGTGTCACATTTTAAATGGTTTTATCCGGTGCGGACCCCCACCCCCACCCCCCGCTCCTCCCCTGCACTCGCCTTGTGATGGTACTAAGCAGCAGTATAAAACCTGGGTTCTTCAAATACCATTGAGAAAATGGCCGTTGTGTACTTTATTTCATCTAAAACAGGGGTCTCCAAACTACGGCCCGCGGGCCGGATGCGGCCCTCGAAGTCCTCTCATCCGGCCCGCGGAGATCTTTTTGTCCAAGGAAAAGTCGTTTGTTGGTGATGGCTGAAGAACTTTGCCCAGACAAATCAAAGACATGCCTGGAAGAAACTGGCCCCCGAACTGAAATTTGATAGTTAATGCGGCCCTCGGACTCAAAAGTTTGGAGACCCCTGATCTAAAATATTCTAGGAGCTGTACAGGCTATTTTATCCGTATCCTAATAATATAATTTATCAACTTTATTTACAGAAATACTTAAAGACACACTTCCGGATTAAGTGCAGTACTTTACATTCAGTGTTTCTTCCAGACTTTTTTTTCTCCGGTGGGGCACTTGAAATTTTTCGGGGATGGGGGGGGGGGGAAGAGATACCTGGAAGAAACTCTGTTTACATTTATGAGCAACGCCATAGATCATCATTCACCCATCACACGACTGAAACAACGCTGTATGTGGTATACATATATCAGCTGATCACACATCATACAACAATGTGTGACAACCCTACCAAACACAACAACCCACTTCGTCACCAACAACCTCAGAAAATGTACGCACTTTAATTTTAAATAACAATTTATTACTCTATTTAGTGTAAATTTGGTGTCATTAAAATCTCTCTCAAATATCACATTAATAAACTTAATTTAGCATATTTTTAATGTTTTGATCCAAGCTAGTCACCTCGGCATTAAAGTGCATGATTTAAAAAAAAAAATCTCTAATCGACATGTATTAATTAAAATAAAATTCCCTTCATTAGAGTCATTACTGTACTGCATGATTTCAACCAATCCCGTGAGACGTCACATGAACGATTCTCATGGCAGCCAATCAGCGACTGGCTCACAGGAAGTGCAAGCGTCTCAACGATCCTCGGGTGTGAACGATTCGGGTTCTGCTACTCCGGGCTCACACTTCCGGTGTACTCTCCACGGACCGGAGTCATCTTGAACCGGATGTCAACACGCCACGCATCGTCTCACATCCCTCAGGAGCGTGTCATAAATGGGGCAGGTGTCGGGGGTGGGGGGGGGGGGGGGGTTCATTGTTAAGGGAATCTTTTCTTGTGTTATTGTTCGATGGATGAAATTTCGATTGTTAGATCTGGGTTGTTAACATGTTACTTGTTAACGCGAAAGGGTTGGGGGAGAGAGAAAGTATATACGATACGTTATCAAACTGGCTGTATTCGACTATATAAAGAACTACAGAAAGTGTACAAACATTATTTTTGGGGACGTCTATAAGTGACTTAACTCATTCTAGGGAAACGGGGGGGGGGGGGGGGGGTGGACTTTTAGGAAATACTTCTTGTATTCTTAAGAAATAGTTTTTAGAAATAATTTAAAAAGAAAATTTTATTTACAATATCATGGTGGTGGTAAAACATAGTTTCTAATTTAATCCATAATTGTTGCATTTTAAAACACCTATTCCAATACATCATATAGTCCCCAAATCCTTAGCCAATGATAAATACGGCCGATGGGTATAACGCATCGCTCGCTATACGATTACAGAGTATGTGAATTCGGTTGATCAATAAGAACCGATACTTGTTCAAATGCAATGGACCGTATCAATAAATCACACACGTTAATGGTCAAGCTATCTCAGTAACATTTATACAACAAAGTAACAACTTTTGTTTTATGGTAACAATATAGGGCAACAACAAATGCTAAACGGGCGACAACGACAGCAACAGGGCAACGGTGAATGTTAAAATGGCAACAACAAATGCTAAAGGGCAACAACAAATGCTAAAGGACAACAACAAATACTAAAGAACAACAACAAATGCTAAAGGACAACAACAAATGCTAAAGGACAACAACAAATGCTAAAGGACAACAACAAATGCTAAAGGACAACAACTAATGCTAAAGGACTCTAACAACAAATGCTAAAGGGCAACAACAAATGCTAAAGGGCAACAACAAATGCTAAAGGGCAACAACAAATGCTAAACAACAACTAAGGCTAAAGCACAACAACGAATGTTATGGGTCAACAAAGAATATAACTGGACAACAACGAATACTTAAGGACAACAATACAGGTAAAGGGAAACATCTAATGTCTCAGGTTAGAAAACTCATTAGACGGGTTAGGTTACTAGAGGTTTTATATTTGCCTGAGCTATTTATAGCAACATATCACGTGACAGAGACTTACTCATTGACTTGAGGCGTTATGATCTCCACCAGGTTGTACATCTGTAAAGGCATCCAGCAAATGACGAACAGGCAGACGACGATAATCATCATCTTGACCACCTGCAACATACACATTTAGCCATTAGCCATTAAGTATAGCTATTAACCATAGCTATTAGGCTAAATACATAAATAGTGCATACGTGTAGCCGAAACCATAACGGTAACCGTATTTATGGTCGTAATCACAACCACAAACACAACCATAATAATAACCTTTAACATTATTCATAACTACATTACCCATAATCTTAACAATAATTATAACCTTAACCACAAACACAACCATAATAATAACCTTTTGCTCATAACTACATTACCCATTATCTTAACCATAATTATAACCGTAACCACAAACACAACCCTAATAATAACCTTTAAAATAACCTATAACCATTGATCACAACCTTTAATGTAACCACCGAATACAGCAGCCATTAAACTATGCCATCTGGCAAACAGTTTCTTTCCGACATTTTGCTCACGGAGGATGGAGGGTGGGGGGGGGGGGGGGGGGGCTTAAATTTCCAAGGGGGCAGACACTGATTGAAGTATATCGTTGGTAAATAATATACGTTCCATTTCGTTCCCGGGGGGGGGGGGGGGGTTGGAAAAACTATAGGTGCATTGACGGCTATTATTCAACAAAAGAATTATTAGCATAATAACCTTGAGCCTTAAACAGAGAATCCCTGGCAAGAAATAGGCCAAGGTGTAGACATACATAACACATTTAAATGTATTACATAAACCATCCATATTTCTTGAATACAGCTAGACAAAATAAAAATAAAAATAAAACCAAACTATCCTAATTTGCACAGTAAAACGTATTGACAATTCTAAAGTAGAACGAGACTTGCAAATCCCCCTTCATTGACGAGATTACAACGAGTGCGAGGGCATACGTAACGCATGTCCTTGCGTAAAATGTGAATATCACTCGCCTCGACAGAAAAAAAAGTTATTTCCCTCGAAGGGTCGCGTCATTAAAGCGAGTTATCTCCCCTGCTGAGTAGTGTCATTAAATTTTTGATGGGTGCCCAAGCAGTGGTTTCAAATGGCGGAGACGAAAAAAAAAATTTCAATCGAGATTAAAATATTTTTTGTTCATTCATCTCCCCCCGTCCCTGCCCCACTTCATCATCACCCCTCCCCAACATATGTATGCTCTCCTTGTCCAAGAAAACACACTTAGAATTCATAGTAAACTTGAGGTTATATTATTTCCCTTTGGCACAAGTGTAAAACATGGATTTGCTTCTTGTAAGTTGAATATTTTTAACGAAAAAAAATAAATTATTTTTCAACGTTTAAACAGAGCAAAAAAAAAAATATTTGCCATTTGCTTGCAGTGCAAAATAAAGTAGTTGCTATAAATTATTAAGATATAAAAATAGATATTTCTCTAACGTAAACACATTTGTTTTGAAGGATTTAAAGAGTCCTGGAGTTTAAGCGAGAAGGGGAGGGGGAGGGGAGGGGTGGGTTGGGGAGGGAGGTTACAAAAAAATAGTGATGAAGCGAGGGAGAGAGAGATGTACAGAAATACAGAGAAAAAGACAGTAAATGATATTAAAAAAATGAAGTAAAAATAAGCTTATGTGTCAGTGTGTGTGTGTAGAGAGAGAGAGTAGAGTTTGATGTAGGTGTATTGGATATTTGAAATGCAGTCGCCTAAGTGAAACGATTTATGTAGGGCAAGACAGAAGTTTTTGGGATGGTTCATTGAAGACCTGACATGCTACCTTTTTCAATCAGTATAGTGATCGTCAGACCCATTGTTTATCAGACCCAGCGACTCGTAACCCAGAGACCCACAGACCCAGTGACCGTCATACAGATCCAGAAACAGAGTGACCAATACACTCAGAGATCCAATGACCCATAGACAACCCAGCGACCCATAGACAACCCAGCGACCCACAGACAACCCAGTGACCCACAGACAACCCAGTGACCTACAGACAACCCAGTGACCCACAGACAACCCAGTGACCCACAGACAACCCAGTGACCTACAGACAACCCAGTGACCCACAGACAACCCAGTGACCCACAGACAACCCAGTGACCCACAGACAACCCAATGACTCACAGACAACCCAGTGAACTACAGACAACCCAGTGACCCACAGACAACCCAGCGACCCACAGACAACCCAGCGACCCACAGACAACCCAATGACTCACAGACAACGCAGTGACCCACAGACAACCCAGTGACCCACAGACAACCCAGTGACTCACAGACAACCCCAGTGACAACCAGACATCTGCTACAATAAATTGGTGGTATATTTCAGTAGAATTTGTTTTTAAAGTAACAATTATGCCTTCCATTGCCTTCCATTGCAGTTCCGTTCTGTAGCATTGTAACATATGGCATGGGATAAAGTAGCACAACGTAGTAATATTGAAATAAACGCATGTCATGTGACCCAATCATTACAAATCAGATACACCTTATAAAAGTAGTTACAAAACCTCTCAGAAATATAGGATGTTTTTCTTTAGATTATTGTTAAACGATCACCATGACAACCAGATTTCGCCATTTAATGGTCATTGAGACACAAGAGTAGTGGATGACCCCGGCTAAAGCTGGACAACCGAGACTGCCACGCCCCACTCCCCTACCCCACCTCTACCCCTTAAAATCTCATCTAGCTGTGTCCGCGCCTCGTTCAGATCTCGAGAGAAAATTTTCTTTTATTTCTCGCAGTCACCTGACGAGAATCTACGAGAGGGACTTAAGCCTCCAGAACAATAAATGCCAGTACCACGCGAGAAAAAAAAATATCCCTAGAACATGGAGCCAGCCACTTGGTCTAGTCTGATCACGTGGTGGTGTATTTACCACTCACCATCTACCACATCGTTGATTAGAATTTTTCCAGAGTTTTTTTTATCTCTAGATGTGGATATAGAAGGAGTACTGTGAGGGGGGGAGGGAGGGATAAACAACAACTACCCAGATGTGAGAGTGGGGGTGATGAATTGAGATGAAGAAATATCCAACACACGTTCAAGTTCAAAATACAATGTTGTTTATTAACATTTATAATCAACTTCCTACCTAACCTAACTAATCTATTCTTTACTGTATACTGTTCATACTATATGCTATCTACTATTACGACCGTCTCTAACCGCTACCTAACACCTTCTGCTCTCCTCGCTAGCTACCTATCAACTGCCGCTAATCTTGATACTGGCTCACGCCTCAGTGGTCAGCTGACCGTCCCACGTGACCGGTCAGCTCCTGTACGTCCATTGGTCTCCACCCAACTATCTAGAGTCTGTTTCTCTATCTACTTGACCTAAACTAGCGTCATCACAAGTACTCATATTTTCTGTACACAGGTTAATTGAATATAACAGACCAGTCCAGCCTTCATAAAAATCACACTATGCTGCAATAGGGCTGGTAAGTAGGTCACCAACCAGTTCTACGGCACAATAAAACCTGCATGAGCCATAGAACTGTTTATTGACCTACTTACCAGCCCTATAGACTTAGTCCAACACCAAGACTAAGTAGATATCAAACTTTACTTTTGTATAAAAATATGGTTTCGTGTGGATACCTTACTTTATTGTCTGGGGGGGGGGAGGGGGGCGGTTGTCAATTTTGTCCCCACCCTCTTTAGCGACGACCCACGGGTCGTGTATAGGAAAACACGGGTTATCAGTGGGGAAATGCGGGTTATTAGTGGGTAGTGGGACAACAAACAGACCCACAAAGGTTTAACTTATTATTAAAATACAAGTGGGACTTTGTAGTACAAGTTATAGGGTTCCTGTGTTTTGTTACGTCATTGAGAGGTCTGGAATTTTGTGAAAAAAATTATGTGACGTCATTTACCGTGGGCTGTTTCATGACATCAAAACCTTTGGTTACTTTTAGTGATACGAGTGGTCGTGTTCAAGGTGGTATGTGTTGCCCGATTGGGCTTTAGAGAATCACAACAAAAGACCGCCCACTCCATTTGTTACTCACAAAAATCACAACAAAAGGCCGCCCTCTCCATTTGTCACTCACAAAATCTACAAGCTCCCATCATCAAACAGATGGTCCACCACTCCATCTAGTCAGCCAACAAGCAAAACATCAGTACCAAGCAGACTTTCCAACAGAGAAACTACTTGGCTGTAAAAATCGACAAATAAGCTTTTATTTTACGACGAAAAGGTTTTCATATTTACTCGCCGATAAAAAAAAAATTGTTTGAAGTTTCAAGGCTGGCGAAAAATCAATTTCCCCAACAGTAAGACAATGTAAACTGGGTTCATTCAAAACTTGAAAATCTGTTTTAAAAAAATACAAGTGTTTCTATGTATAGTCTAGACAACAGGAGCAGATAATAGGAGTTGAAGCTACTTCTTGACCTAACGTTTACATGCAAGAGAAATAAAAAATGTTTCGGAAAATCCATGTTAAATTCTGTGTTGTGAAAGCGCTAATCTGGTGAAGTGTAGTGATACCACTAATCAGGTGAAGTTCTGTGTTGTGAAAGCGCTAATCTTTTGAAGTGTAGTGATACCACTAATCTGGTGAAGTTCTGTGTTGTGAAAGCGCTAATCTGGTGAAGTTTTGTGGTTTTGTGGAGGGCAGAATTTCTTTCAGACTTTTTTCTCCTTGGGGGTGGGGGTGGGGGGTGGGCACTTGATACTTAATGGAGGTGGAGCGGACTAAACTTTCTGGAGGTTAGGGCGGACTCTGATAAAAGTTTTTATTTGCTATATAAATTTTATTTCATTAGGGGGGAAGGGGTGGGGGTGAGGGGCAGAGGTGTAGCGACCCTTCCCGGCGCCCGGGGACAAACTTTCGATATGCACCCCCCCCCCTCGAGCTGTTGATTTGCACCCCCCCCCCCTCAAACTTTCGATTTGCACTCCCCCCTCGAACTTTCGATTTGCACCCCCCTCGAACATTTCATTTGCACCCCCCTGAAACTTTCAATTTGTTTTTCCAACCAATTTTGGCGCCCCCCCCCCTAAGGTCGGCGCCCGGGGACATATGCCCCCCCCCCGCCCCCACCTCGCTACGCCTCTGGTTAGCCCTCTTTAGAATAATACATTAAAGACCTTAGGTCGGGGAGGTTATAGTCGAAAAAGCGGAGGTCAAACAGTCACAACATACAATTTATCCGAAGGCTCAAGAGAACGTAGACGACCTTTCAGGTCAAAGTTCGACTTCTAAAGGCCACAGAAGCTGCCATTGCCCTCGCTAAGATATTAATTTGAGGAGACGTGTTAAACAAGGTAAAACATGAGCATGTTTTGAAATTTAAAACATTTAATCGTTTATTGAATGCATTCTGATAAAAAAATATATGACAATATTAAAGTTTTAAAACGATAATTCAAGGACGAATTTTTATGTGTTGATGACGCGTTTCACTAGCTACTTAAAAAATACAATTTAAAATTTTCATATTTTTGGTTAATAATAGAAAAGTGAAGCAGATGACCGCTTGGACATCCCAAGTATAGCATGTTTGGCTTGGACATCCTAGGCATAGGATGATTTACCTGAACATCCCAAGCATAGCATGCTTGACCTGAACATCCCAAGCACAGCATGCTTGGCTTGGATATCCTAAGCATAGCATGCTTGTTGTTTTTTACCGCTTGGACCACACACCAGAGCCAAGTAAACAGGTCCTACACCCACTGTACGCTGGTGGCAATTTAAATGGTCAAATATACAGTACAGACGTTTCATGAACTGCCCACAGACTGGGCTTCACTACCTGTCCAGATAATACTGGGAATTAGATCTGCCCACATAAGACTGGGCATCAGGAACTGCCCACGTTAGACTGGGTATCACGAACTGTCATCTGAAGACTGGGCATCAGTAAGTCTCATACAAAATTGTGCATCATGCCAAGAAATTACATAAACATGACACAGCTCCATAATTCTTTCAACTAACCTGTATAAAAATTGTAGTTTAAAAATATAAAAGTTTTAGTAATTTGACAGAATCAGGGACTAGTATGTTTTAAAAAAAAATATATTGAAATAATATTTCAGCCTAGATACATAATAACCAACTAGCAAATATGGAAGCCTAAAATTTGTATAATATGGAAAACTAAAATTTGTATCTCAAGTATCGGTCAAGTGAATATTATCCAAATATATTTCGGAAATTAGAATTCCTTTCTGAATAAACATTGAGAACTGCAATTTTAACCCTGAATTTTCGCCCAAATATTATTCTGCAATTCTTTTACTATATACATATGGGGTGGGGAGCATGCATTTCTGCTGAGAAAAACGTCGAGTGCAAATTTCTTTAGCGGTCAGACAAAGAAGTTAAAATTACAAACAAACCCCATGAGTTAAAATTCTAACCCAGCGCCAAAAGTTAAAATTCTAGCCAAAGCCAGAAGTTAAAATTCTAGCCAAAGCCAGAAGTTAAAATTCTAGCCAAAGCCAGAAGTTAAAATTCTAGCCAAAGCCAGAAGTTAAAATTCTAGCCTAAGCCAGAAGTTAAAATTCTAGCCAAAGCCAGAAGTTAAAATTCTAGCCTAAGCCAGAAGTTAAAATTCTAGCCAAAGCCAGAAGTTAAAATTCTAGCCAAAGCCAGAAGTTAAAATTCTAGCCAAAGCCAGAAGTTAAAATTCTAGCCAAAGCCAGAAGTTAAAATTCTAGCCAGCGCCAAAAGTTAAAATTCTAGCCAAAGCCAGAAGTTAAAATTCTAGCCAAAGCCCATGAGTCCAGAAGTTTCCACAAAGCTTTAATCAATAACGCGTTAGTTCTGTTAAGGATTATGGATTAAAATATTTCCTTATCCAACCTTCCCCGGGGCCTAGATCTCTCCGCGAGAATTTGTTTACCATATCTTCTTTCTTCTACGTCCGCGAAGAATTCTCATTCTGTCTCTTCCTAGTTTTATTTGTCTCTCGTTTCTACCATAAAAAAGGTCTTGTTCATATTTCCGTTCCAAAGAAAGTTTGGCTTTTTTATATACCCGTTTGAATCTTTATCCGGCTTTTGTTTTTGGAATACACGTTTGAATGTTTGTCCGGCTTTTGTTTTTGGAATACACGTTTGAATGTTTGTCCGGCTTTTGTTTTTGGAATACACGTTTGAATGTTTGTCCGGCTTTTGTTTTTGGAATACACGTTTGAATATTTGTCTGGCTTTTGTTTTTGGAATACACGTTTGAATGTTTGTCCGGCTTTTGTTTTTGGAATACACGTTTGAATATTTGTCTGGCTTTTGTTTTTGGAATACACGTTTGAATGTTTGTCCGTCTGTGTTTTGTTTTTGGTATTCCTGTTTGAATATTTGTCCGTCTTTTGATATACCCATTTGAATATTTGTCCGTCTTTTTGTTATTTGTCCGTTTATAGCTTTTGTTGCGTCTTTTGTTTATGAAATACCCGTTTCAACATTTGTCCAAATTTACTTTTTGATGGTGACCAGAAAGATGCGCAACGGAAAAAAGCGCAAACAGAAAAAAGCGCAAACAGAAAAAAGCGCAAACAGAAAAAAGCGCAAACAGAAAAAAGCGCAAACAGAAAAAAGCGCAAACAGAAAAAAGCGCAGTTTTTTTTCCGTTGCGCATCTTTCTGGGAACCCTTTTTTATATACCCGTTTGGATATTTGTCCGTCTATCTGTCCGTACGTTTGTCTCACAATTCTCCATCAAATAAACTCTTTGTTTTTAGTCCGCTGATGCTATGGCTAACGAGCAGGACTTAAGACGGGGTAATGTACCTGTCGGTGATAAACCCCCCTCTCGCGAGATTAATGAGGGAATGATGTCATTAAGGACCATTTAAACAAGGGAGACAAGTTCCGATGCGAGCCGAAGATAACTGATGGCGTCGTTAGCTAATGTTGGGTAGTGGGGTTGTCGGTCCTGGCGGTGAAGGGGGGAGGGGTGAGGCTGGATGAAAGAGGAAATAAGACAACAGTTTTTTGTGAGTGTATTCTAGGACTTCGCTTACAGGGGATTTGTAGACCCAAGGGCAAGAAGTAGCGTCATGACATCGTCAAGTATTGGCAAGCTAGAGAAAGGGATATTAGGAGTGAGCAGTTAAAAGCGGTTCAGATGAAACAATGTTAGAATATAGGTAGCGAAAACTGTTATAAAAATAGCAGGTTGGAATAAAAAGGTCGAAAAAAATAAATTGAAAAATCAATTTATGGTCGCAGTCTACGGTGTTACCCTAACCTCTCAGTCCCCAGTAATTTACCTTAACATTTCAACTCCCCAATAATTTATCCTAGTCTTACAATCCCCAATAATTTATCCTAGTCTTACGATCCCCAATAATTTATCCTAGTCTTACAATCCCCAATAATTTATCCTAGTCTTACAATACCCCATAATTTATCCTAGCCTTACAATCCCCCGAATAATTTATCATAATCTTACAATCCCCAATAATTTATCCTAGTCTTACAATCCCCAATAATTTATTCTAGTCTTAAAATCCCCAACAACTTATCCTAGTCTTACAATCCCCCATGATTTATCCTAGTCTTAAAATCCCCAACAATTTATCCTAGTCTTACAATCCCCAAATATTTATCCTAGCCTTACAAATCCCAAATAATTGGTCGCTTGGTGCCAAGAGCTCTTCATTAGACCAGTGACCTAGTTGGTGAGTACGCTGGCCTTGAGCAAAGATTTCATTGGGGTAAAACTGGGGTGAGCAGCTTTTGTCCTACAGCGTTATTATCCGGGTCCTATGTTAGGGAAATGTTTCATAGGGTCCTAAGGTAAGGACATAATTGATAAGGTCACACGGACAGGGTAGAACAATATGGGTTAATACAACTAGGACAAAGTTAAGTGTGGATTGGGGAGTCGGGAGGGGGGGGGGATGAAGGCGTGATCGATATAAATTTCTTTGGACTACTTCAGTTTAGCTTATAATTATAACGAAATTATCGCTGATGTTATTTGCTGTTTGCAACATTTTCTACTTTATAAAGTTCATCATCGTCTTTTCCCTTGTGTGCCCAAGGAACATAGGCTTCTTTCACTTTTGTTGGTCTAATTTATAAAGTTAAACCAATACAAGAGGAGGCTTACCTCCCATGTAAAGCCTATGTGAAAAAAAACTGAGGTTGGCTACACAAGTAGTTTGACAGAATGATGCTCAGAGACTACTGGCTTATTTAAAGAGACCGATTTAACAATGAAACTACGGTTGGACGGTACTTTGTTACTATATTCACATCCTGGTGATATCTTGGGCAGATGAAGTAGAGTTCATCTGTTTCGCCAATCCGCGCAGACAACCAATCAGTTATGCAATAGATATCCCTACCAACACGCAGCACTATGCCAAGCCATCTTCGTTTCCACTATGTTAGGTACCCATTAGAGCTGGGTGCACTCAAAGACGTCCTACACACTCTTACACGTGTATCGTACTCGGGACCTGAATAGTAATCGAAAGATTGTATTTGCTACCACTTGATTACATGGCCCATTCATGGTGTACATAGCAAGCGATAAAAAACAATTAAAAAGTACATAGCAAAGGATAAAAAAAAATCAAGAAGTACATAGCAATGTTGTTAAAAAACAATTCAAGAAGTACATAATACGCGATAAAAAAACAATTCAAGAAGCTCACAGCAAGCGATAAAGAACAATTCAAGAAGTACATAAAAACGATAAAAAAAACAATTCAAGAAGTAGATAACAGGCGATAAAAAATTGTTTATATTATTTTGTGGAACAATGAGATGGGCCATCTCGAAAATAAAGAAATAAAGTACATCAGATACAACTCGGAAACCTAAGCCGGGGTGTAAAAATAGAACAGCTTTAGCCTCGACAGCAAAAGTAGTTGTGATGTATGGGACACATCTCGATGTCCGATGTTTTCGCACATAAGCGGGATGATCTATTTCCGGTCAGGACGCGTAGCGCCGGATCTCCAACACAGGCTTTTTGTCGTCTGCCTCGCGCGGACAACCAATCAATTATGCAATAGATATCCCTACCAATACGCAGATATTTTTGGTCGCCCCGGCAGGCGATGGTTCTCAGGCAAACGTGGCCGCACATGCGCAAGCTGAAAACAATAAAGTGAGGATTGTCGCCCTTGTATGAAGGAAGATTTATAGGTTTGCTTACCTCGCTATCATGTCGGACACGGCCTTGAAGGACGTAGAGAGTTTTGAAACTGTATATATATATATATATATATATATATATATATATATATATATATATATATATATATATATATATATGCGCGCGTGTGTGTGTGTGTGTAGACCTCAAACGTCATTTGGGCAAATGTCTTCTGCGAGTTTGTAGCAGACCCATATATATATATATATATATATTAATATATATATATATATATATATATATATATATATATATATATATATATATATATATAATGTTTATATACAGTGTGTGTGTATGTTTATATATGTATATATATATATATAAGTATATTTATATATGTTTATATATATGTATTATACGTGTGGGTGTTTGTACTATGCATATTATATATATATATATATATATATATATATATATATATATATATATATATATATATATATATATATATCACAATGCTAGTTATTCTGCCCATCGATAGCCTTCCTGTTTTCAATTCGCTACTTATTTTTAATTGGAGCTTTAGATTGTCGTGAGCAGATGGTGTAACCATGAAGTGATGACTTTTTATGGCGATATAAATGGTACGTCTAGTGTACAGGAAGGCAATCACACTAGTTAAAATACTCTCTCTACCACCCATTTCCATTCTTCTCATAAAAAAATTATAATAGAAACATTCAACTTGTGTAAAAAAAAAAGTTCAGGGGTAATCGTGTGAGGGAGATTTAAATTTCAGAGAGTTAACTCCCCTATTATCGTAGCAGCTGCGTGTATTGTGAAACAACTAACAAATTGTGATTGTTACAATGGTTATCTCTCTCTCTTGTATGAATGTGATGTGGTAACAACTACCAAAAATCTTATTGTCCAAGTGGTTCTCTACCTTACATATTTTCCTAAATATTTTTTATTCTCTCTAAAATACGTTGCAAGAAATTAATTTTTTTGTTTGACCAAACATATTTTTTTGAAGATGATATTTTATACCCAAACCTATTAGAAATGTCTACTGCCTTCACATGTTTTAGATTTATACTCAAAATCCAGGTCTAATTTCAGACAAAATTAGAAGTTAGATAGAATTTGTGAAGTGATATTAGACAGCTTGATCTTCGTGTCTTGTCACTCTTGTAATGGGTGTGGATGATGGGTAATAGTGTTGGAAGGGGTCCAAAGATTGAGTCAAACTCTATTGACAGTTTTGCCCCCCCCCCCCAGACGCCCCGTAAACCTCCCCACCTCCCCACCTCCCAGCATCGACACAAAATGTGAGAACCCTCTCCTAACATGACGTCGTACCTCTAATTGCCGTTTTTGTTCTGTCTTAATTATTAATTGAGCTGGGTCAGAAATTAATTACATTGAATAATTTTTACACCGATTTCTAAAAAGTATAAAAAAAAATAATTCAGTGCCAAAGGCCGTTTTTTTTTTAAATTACTTTTTTAAATTCAAATTATTGACGTCATATTTTCTGATGCTTCCCTCATCAAACTTTGTCACAGATCATCACATAACGTCACATAACGTCACATAACGTCACATAACGTCACCTAACGTCACATATCGTCGAAACACCGCCACTGCTGTCAACAGAGTAATTTAAGTCGTTTAGCACATTTTCTGATAATAGATTAATCAATATTTAAAATCATTAATTAATTAACTCCCATTTTAATTAAATAGCTACTTAATTAGAGTTATCCTCTCACATCAATAAGTCAAGTTGTTACAATACGTTACATGCAAGGCAAGTTGTCGCCCTTTAACACTGTCTTAAAATCAGGGGAGGGTTTAAAGTTTTATTAGATACTTAAAATATTGGTTTAAAAAAATTACAACAAATATTAACTTTTTCAGAAATTATTAATTAAAAACACGTCTTCTGCGCGTGAAGCTAAAACAAGTTGACTAAATTATCTTTGTCACGAGTCTTGAAAATTAAAACTTTTAAAATATAAATTTAAGACGCAAACGTGATTTCCAGGTCATTTTTCTAATTCCCTCTCCCTTAAACAATGTCTTATTGCTATTGCCATATTCAGATTGCCATATATATATATATATATATATATATATATATATATATATATATATATATATATATATATATATGTGTGTGTGTGTGTGTGTGTGTGTGCATGTATATAGATTGCACGTATATAACTAGCTCAAATTAAGCCTGCCATCGGCCAGTAATTTCTTAGTCTACAGAAATATGTATTCATCGTAGAAATCACATGTCAGCTTTTTATGTATTGAATCACATTGAACTGTGCATCCAGCTGGTGATTGAAGAACAGTGTTATAGCCTCACCAAGATGTGCCGCACATAATCAACTGCGATTCACAGTGTAAGAAGGGGGACAACTGCTGTTCACAGTGTAAGAAGGGGGACAACTGCTGTTCACAGTGTAACAAGGGGGACGACTGAAGTTCACAGTGTAACAAGGGGGACAACTGCAATTAATACTATAACAAGGGGGACTACTACCGTTCACACAGTAACAAGGGGGACAACTGAGGTTCACACTGTAACAAGGGGGACAACTGAGGTTCACACTGTAACAAGGGGGACAACTGAGGTTCACACTGTAACAAGGGGGAGAACTGCAGTTCACACTGTAACAAGAGGGAAAACAGCAGTTAATACTGTAACAAGGGGGAGAACTGCAGTTCACACTGTAACAAGAGGGAAAACAGCAGTTAATACTGTAACAAGGGGGAGAACTGCAGTTCACACTGTAACAAGAGGGAAAACAGCAGTTAATACTGTAACAAGGGGGACGACTGCGGTTAACACTGTAACAAGGGGGACAACTGCAGTTGATACGGTCACAAGGGGGACGACTGCAGTTCACACTGTAACAAGGGGGACAACTGCAGTTCACACTTTAACAAGGGGGACAACTGCAGTTAACAATGTAACAAGGTGGACAACTGCGGTTCACACTGTAACAAGGGGGACAACTGAGGTTCACACTGTAACAAGGAGGACAACTGCAGTTCACACTTTAACAAGGGGGACAACTGCAGTTAACAATGTAACAAGGTGGACAACTGCGGTTCACACTGTAACAAGGGGGACGACTGCGGTTCACGATATAGCAAGGGAGACTACTGATGGGAGTGCTCCGACAACAACACGACCAAAACAAGCGATAAATCTCAGCAATTGAATGGTGTCTTGGAGATGCACAAGTAATCCAAGACTTCGCTGTAGCAAGGTTAGATTTAAAAGATTCGATTTGACACACTTGGATCATTGTATTTTTTTCAATAGTTAAAGTTTATGAGAAGAGTTGGAGTTCACGAGTGTCTTGTTATGGTAAATTTTCGATTGTAAGTCGAAATTCGCACTCAGTTTTAGGGACGGCGTGAAATATTTAAACCCACTGAACCAGTTTCAGCGTACTTTAAAAAAAAAAGTTTGCAATAAAAGTATTTTGTAACGACAATTTTTTGCTGAGGCGAATGAATTCACAAAACTGGTTTTCCTTTGAAAAGAATGCTTTTATAAAATAAAATTTAAAAAATCACATTATTATCTTAGTTTTAAAATGCAGAGAAACATATCCATCGTAAAAAAAACTCCCACATAAACTATAAGCAATATATATATATATATATATATATATATATATATATATATATATATATATATATATATATATATATATATATATATATATATAAATTTATATGTGTGTCTGTGTGTATATATGTATGTATAAACGTACTTGTGTGTGTGTGTCTGTGTGTGTGAGTGTGTGTGTGTGTGTCCAGCTAGTAAGGTACCCGTCTAACTATCATATTCCTTAAAGGACGCCTCTAATTAGGACAGTGCAGAGGTCTTGCTCAGGGCGCTAGGCGCTATCAATACTGGGGCAGTCAAGGGGAATAACTTATTTGGAAGAAATCCCGGTTTCGCTTGCAAAGGGACACAATCAACATTTCTGTAAGGAATTTTCTATCGCTTGTGTTTTTTGTAGGCTCGGGGACAAGGTAATGGGTGGAAAAAACACGAAAATGAAAGAGATGAATTCAAGAAGGTATTCATTTGGAAGGAAATGGTTCGATTTTTTTTTTGTCGTTGGGTGTGTAAAACATTCATAGCCGGGAGAGGTTGATGGGTGCACGTGAACTTTTATGTTCATGTCATTTGTTTTGTTCAGTCTTCACGTCGTTAGCACATAAAGAAATCTACTTTCGAAAGACCGAAACACCTAACCCATCCATAAATCTACTTTCTAAAGACCGAAACTTCCAAAAGTCCTAAAACCTAACACGAATATAATTCCACTTTTATATACCGAAATCTCTATCACATGCATAAATCTACTTTCCAAAGACCGAAACACCTAGCACATACATAAATCTACTTTCTAAAGACCGACATACCTAGCACATGCATAAATCTACTTTCTAAAGTCCGAAACTTCATCAAGTCCGAAAAGCTTACACATATAATTCTACATTTTATTTACCAAAAATACCTAGCACATAAATACATCTACTTTCCAAAGACCGAAATATCAAGCACGTACATAAATGTACTTTCTAAAGACCGAAATATCTAGCACATACATAAATGTACTTTCTAAAGACCGAAACACAACAAAAGCAATCAAGTTTCCGACAATAACAGCAACACATAACTTATCCAAGGGGACGGTGTTGCTGAATGGTAGAGCTAACGAC